GGCTGCATACTGTGGGTGCTACTTATGCACAAACATAATGACTTGGTGACTGTGGCAAAACCTGGGTGTTTCTAAAGACAGTTCCGGGGCACAAGCTCCGATCTGGGTAGGTGGTGCTGAGACTTTTCTAATGATTGTTGGTGCTTTGTCAGGCCTCAGATGTGAAGTATCATTTTTACTAGATCCGTTTCCTATCATCTTGAATAGTGAAAAACTCACAAGGAATTTGTGTGAGATTTTAGCCACATCTAAACAAGGCAACAGGCCCCTTCCAGCTCTTGATCTGACCTAGAACCAAACCCGTAAGGATGGACCCAAGGATTTGATTCCTTAGCGTCCTGTTTCACCTCCCTCCTGCCCCGATCCCAGACATTCAAAGGGGTCTAGATTCAGCATTCTGGATTGGGCCTTTCTCTCTTTGTTACTGATCTCCTAACGAATTATGATCGCATCCCCTGCCCTCAGACTCATTGGAATGAATCCGACCCATTGTCTCTGGGCCCCTTGGTGGATCCAGTGATTCTGGTACCTCCAGCCTGGGTGCTGACAGGCTTTTAACATGAGGAGATTCAACTTCAGAGTGCTGGTTGTATTCTCCATGGAAAGCCCGAACCAGAATTTGCATCACAGTCCAGTGGTTTGGCCCAAGACATGGAGGACAAGCAATTGCTTCACCTTCCCTAAATGGCTGTCTTGGGTCGTCCTGAGGCTGGTCATTCTGGAATGAAATTCCCAGAGGCCAGATGATGGGGATGTCCGAGGGCTGGGGAGAGAGAGCACCAAGGAGCCTTTTCCCCCATGGAGCAGCCACAGTCCTGCGCCCTGAGCACAAAGTCTAGGGCAGCGTTAGCACCACTAACCACTGCAGGGGGGGGGCAGGTTACAATTCTGCCCCCTCCATACTAGCTGGGCTGGAGGGGCAGGCAAGAGCTCTGCCTGCAGAGGGCGGATGCCCCTGGGGACTGGTGGCATGACAGTGCCCCCCCCCTCCGCCCACCCAATGCCAGGAGACAGCCCTGAAATGACGGATTAGGAAAGAGAGGCCAAAACTGGGATGGCAGCGAGGTCGGCCTAATGCAGAAATAAGGTTGGCCTCAGACCGCGCGGGTTTCTAATCCTTAGGCCCTGCGCCTGCTTTCCCCCATCTGCAGCGGTGACAGTCCTGCCTATGCGGCCAGGAAGGCAAAGCGTTCTCCACGTCTCAGGGAAATGAGAAAACCAAATGAAGTCAAGTTTGCTACCAGCAAAGGGGAAGTGTGACTTGGCATCACGAGCGCTGTGTTTAACATGCCAGCGAGGGGTTTAGAATTGAAGTGCTTGCACACAATTTAAAAATAGACAGTTTATTAATCTAAACGGCAAGTGTATGTAGAAGAGGCCTCGAGATTGACATCTTTGGGATTAGTTTAGCCCTGCGTTTTTCCAGAGGTCATCGCCATGGTGCTCAGGAAGGCTGTGGAATAAATGGGGCCAGCATGCTTCCCGGGACCGCACGCTAAAAACTAATACATAACGTTTAATTTACTGTCTCCAGAGCTAGCCCGACCATTTTTCACATAATCATATTGGATTAGAGCTACCAGCGGCTGTGGGCGGAGTGGGGGGTGGAAGGGATTGGTCTGCTGGGACGAGGGAGGCAGGGGGGAACGTGGTGTATTTTTCTCGCCTGGAGGATGACGTGTTTAACCCCCGCAGCACCGGGATGGTCAGCTTATTTCAGGAGGGACAGGGTGTTCCACTGCAACAGGAGGCTGTCTTGCTTCCGAATTGCTGAGCTGACCCAGACTCAGAGCTCTCAGAGACCGAGAGCCGAGACCCCAGCCCTTCATTTTAAAGCACCGTTTGCAGTCTCAGGACTTTTAAATTCCTCCTTGTCCCCTTTTTTTTGGGGGGGTGGGGTTCCTTTTTTTTCTAACAGGAACTCAGTGTTTTTCAACAGAATTCCTCCTGCAGCTTCTGAGAAATATTAAAGAGCTGCTGTAGAAATAATTAACCTCGGCACTAAGAAGGAGAAAAGGAGACCCAGCCTTATACAGCAATGTTGGCAGCCCAGGACAAGGCAATGTATTGTGGCAAACACAGCCAGAGGCAGGAGCCTAGAGACCCTCCATATGCCAAGCCTGCCCCACTTTCTCCAGTCACAAGATCACCTGAAGTGAACAAACATCCCTCATCCAGGGCAGCCATATCCACGCAGACTCCCAATCGAATTAAGGTTACAATCAGGGCTTTCCATTAAACTCTGCTTGGGTCAGGGTGATTCCCTGCTCCCTGATGAACAAGGGATTAACTCCAGCTCAGCTTCCCTCTCCCCTGGCAAGGTGCTCAGGGAAGGGCTATATGAGAATCCCGTAGGTTGACCACTTAGGGTGTGTCTACACTGCACAGTACACCCGGGCTCTGACTCAGGTTTGAGCCAAGCCCCCCTTCCATCCACACCCAAATCAGTCTGACTCGGGTCAGAAAGCACCCCGGACCCACGTCCTAAAAGACCCTTCTAAGGGAGTGGGTTAGAGCCCAGTCCAAGCCCTGTCATTTTGCAGTGTGGCCACAGCTCAAGTCAGAAGTTCTGCATCATGCAGTGTGGACACATTAGCATGGCTGTGAGAACTGGGTCCAGCAATTATAAACCCAATTGATAATGCAGTGTGGACGCTCAGATATGGGCTTGGAAACACTGAGTCCACAAGCCCAGGTCCCCCAGACCCAGGCTTACAATGCAGTGTAGACATGCCCCGATTGAGATCAGGGTCCAGTGGGGCCCTTGAGGATCACATCTTGCTAACTGGCCATCTTTTTTCTGCTGAGTCATTTTACATGCTGTTTCCAGCTGCTCATACCTTTCCGAAAAAAGTCACATTTTGGGTTCAATTGTTTCCATGTTTAATGTCAGCCCAAAGGCAAATGTTTTGGAAAGTTCTCCTCCCTCTACTGTCTTTTAACAGTACTGTCCCCACATTTGGCCTGGACATTTCAGATGATATTCTTCTATCCCGTTGCGGACTTACCTGCCTCTGAGCAATCATTTGTTATTGTTGCATCCTACCGGATGTTCCTCAGAAACAAACACTTGGCGAGCTGGATTTTCAGTGGATATTTTTTAAGATTGCTTGCTTTACTATGTCTCTTACGCAGAAGTTCGGGCTGGGTCTACACTAGAAATGCTACAGCGGAACAACTGCCGCTGCACTTCTGCAGGCCTGTAGTGGAGACACTCACTACAGTGACAGAAGGGATTCTCCCATAACTGCAGTAAATCCACCTCTGCGAGAGGCAGTAGCTATGTTGACAGAAGAATTCTTCCATCAATCTAGAACTGTCTACGCTGGGGCTTATGTCAACTTATCTATGTCTCTCAGAGGGATGAATTTTTCACACCCCTGAGCGACGTAGTTGGGTCAATGTAACTTTCTAGTGTAGACCAACTCTTAGCTAATTTGTATTTTTCATAGACTTTTTCCTCAAACTCTCCTACTACTAAAGTTAAATTATTACTGGATGTATGTCCTTTAAGTATTGTCACACTAGTCCTGTGATGTCCCATAAGCGTTGGGTGCACTGAATTTATACTTCCCCGCTGTTGATTTGAAGGCTATCAATATATTTCTTAAGTCACAATAAAAATAATTTTTTGATTTTTTCCATATCCTTGTGCAAAAATTTGTGTTTTTCCAAATGCTTTGTATTAAAATGTATTCAAGAGTAATAGTAAATTACAATATAATGTGTATTAATGAAGCATCTTTGTTAGTGAGATGTCATTACCGAGACATTTAGTGTAATTTAAGTGTATGCTGGTACACAATGCTTTTTATTGTTGTTGTACATTGTTATGCTTTCATCTGTAGTATCCTGTTTGAGGATGTTTTCTAGTGTGTGTTTTGGGTTTCATGCATTCTATGTGTCTATTCAGTGCTACAAAATGCTACAAACATCTTTTTTACAACCTTAGATAAACGACCTGATAATCTATTCTGATCCTAAAAGTAAAGACTTTCTCCCAGTGCACTAGGGGGCAGAGTTAAGATTGCACTTGCTGACTTAACTCTCACATTTGACCGTGTCCATTCTGCAACCTTCACGTTACGTGAATGCATGTTGATGTGTTTTCTCTGTAAACAGGTCATCAGACAGGGAGGTTATGAGACAGGACCCCAAGTTAGGATGGTGCATCTCATTCTAGGCTATCCTTTCCCCTTTCCAGACTCCTGTCCTCTCCTCCCACACAGCACCATGCTGTGCCTCTTGCATCTTCGCAGCCTCACTAGGAGGGAGTGGGAAAGCAATGGGCACCTACCTGCCCATTGCTGCCCCTGCTGGAGAGCTCGAGCTTTACCTCTGCAGCACTGCCAGCCACATGCCCGTGCCACATGGAAGGCCCTGAACACAGTGGAATCAGCGCAGCTCCGTGAAAAGGAGGGTGTGGAGAGGCCGGGCAAGGGGTCAGAGGGCCCATGTCCACAGCAACCTCTGCAGCAGGCCCACAAAGAAGGGATCTGAGAGCAGGATGGGTGAAGGTTACAGCGTAGCAGTCTGCAATGACATTGCACCACCGTTCTCGCCCAATATGTAGGGTTTCCATACCGGTCGTGCAGGCCCTGAGGCTGCAGTGATGGTCGCAGAAGGGCTGCGAGGATGTTCTGCTCCTTGGCCCCAGGATGGGGAGGAGGATCCCAGCCCTCCTGAAGGGCAGAGCAGCTCCTATGTGAACGGGCTGTGTACAGGGCCTGGGATTCGGCTGTGGGAGCAGACCCCCTGTTGCTGCTCTCTCAGACCCAGCCCTCCCGTGATATGGCATGTGCTCTCCCACACCCAAGAGGCCAAACCAGCACGCTGTCAGCCGGTGCTAACATGCCCCCTCTGGGCCTGTTACAGTGTTTATTGGCCAGCGACAATACATTCCTGCTGGGAATGGGAAAGACCTTGACACTGCCTTTGATGTATCATTGCTCTGCCTTGCTCACAGTGTAAATTTCTCCTTTCCTCTCTTTCTCTTGCAGTCAATTTTGTTGTCAGCCTCAATCAAGCGGGAAGGAGACTCTCGGACAGCATCGCCTCACTCCTCAGATGATATCCATCACTCAGACAGATACCAGGTGAGACAGCAGCCAGTAACCAGCCAGGCAGTGCAATCCGTTGGTCTTAGCACAGGACTAGGAGCCAGAAACTCCTAAGAACTACTCCCAAGTCCCTCCATGACCTTGGCCTAGCTCCTCAACCTCCCTGCCCCTGTTTCTCTGTGTGGAAAATGGGGATATTAATACTTCCCTCTCTCACTGAGGAGCTGTGAGGCATAACACATTAAGGTACTGCCCTTTGAGATCCTAGAAAGGGCTGTAGACATGCAAATTATTACAAAAATTAGGTCATCCAAGTCATATTATTTAGTATTATTAGCAAAGAGCCAGTCTTCTGGGATGCCCCCAAAGCATGATTACGCACCATAGAACTGTCTGGGACTTCTGGCTGCATTGCATCATGGTGTGTGGGCATACAGGTCAGAATGCAACAGAACACAACCCCACAGGGTTAGTGCAATACAATGCAAGTTAAGAGACATATTGTACTCTCAGCTGTGTGTTTCATTGATGTGGATTGAGGGTAATTTGTGGCCTCTATGCCTAATATATAGCCAGGCCTGAATCATGCACATAGGACTCAAATGTATAGCCATATATGCATGGTACAGTCAAGGAAAATGTTTCCTGCTGCCTCCCCGATTTACAATTTCCCTGCAAAATGACACTGATCAAAGGCTCAAGAGAGGTAACATTCAGTCATGTATCAATGGTCTGTTTATGATCCAGTAACTCACACCCGGTCAGGGCTATCAAAATGGGAGCTCTACCTCATTAGGGAGCAGAGAATTCTAGCACCCTAATGAGATAAACAGCACCTGCTTCTCGCTGTGGAAGGTCCAGAGGAATCTGACTTTAACATTACCACGTTGCACGTGAAAATTCTAGCTTAGCTTATTTGTAGTGGTTTCTAAAATCGTATTTGTTATACCTTTCCTCTCCCTCTGAACTCTATGCAGTTGGGTTCATGGCTTGCAAGGATCCTATATGTGAAGAGATACAAAAATTAGTTCCAATAACATTTTTTTAAACTTTCTAAATCATTTTAAAGAGATTTCTCTGTGAGATCCGGAACTTGGCACACACAGAACACATGCCAGCATGGAGTGGTGCGAACGGCTCAGTGACACTGGTCTGCAGAACTCACCTCTGGCTTCTGAGTCGTAAGATAGTTATTTCTTGAGCATCCAGAAACATTTTCATGCACTTCACAGACATGCAAGGACATACTCCCTGCCCGCAGGAGTAGATGGCCTTGGTTTGATATTACGCAACAAGTAAAGGTCAAGGGTGATGGGGGCGGGCAGGGGAGAGGAAGGACAAGGGGTGGTGACAATATGATCACAAGGTTGCTCCTGCAAATGGATCCTCATGGGCAGGTCCCCACTGAATGAAACATCATGCAGGAATCTGTCTTAGGATCAGGGCCCAAGGCATGCATACATCATGACTGTGCAAATTATTATTATTATTTATTGTTTAATATTCACTGGTAACTATTCTGCCCTTCACTTCTTGAAGGCCCATCTCAAACCTGGGCCAACATACCGTGCATCCCGCCCAATGCAGTCATGTATTCCATATCTGTTATCAAACGTGAGCCTGACTCCCCATGTCCCTGAGTCACTTACACCAGTGCTAAGGGAGTGTCAGACAATTCCATTCTGATTTAGCAGAACTTTATCCCCCCTTTGCCGGGTGAAAGCAACAGCTCATGGAGCCGGGCAGCAGAGAAGCAGGCCCAGGTGTGAACGAGAAATGTTTGACCAAAATATGCTGCCCTCTCTCCTGTCACAATACTTCTTTCTATTAAAACAAAAAGTGAACTTTCAAAAACAGCTCGGATGAAGTTTTCTCAGTGGTCCTTTTTGTGATGTACAAACCTGGGCCTGGAGGATGTGGAGTGGCCTGTGCTCTCAGCTTCTCATGAGTTTTAGGCTCTGTGAAATTTGTCAGCATAATTTTGTGTTCTCCCGTCCCTCAGTACAAGGATTTGCATTGCACCCCTCCTCCATGTGCTGAGTCTAGCTTGCCTGACACATCTGAAGTTTGTGAGTGTGTTTTATGAGGGGTTGCAGCCCCTTAATGCAAATGCATAATGGGAATTATAACTCTGCGCTGCAGGGAGAAAAGACCTCGGGGTCTGATTTTCATTTGCACTGCGGCATGCCACTCTGGTAGCATAAAGGGACCTTCCAGTGGCTGCCAGAGCGGTGTAAATCCTTTGTGTAAATGAGAATTTGGCCCCTCTGAATTGCTCAGGAGTCAAAGAATGGTGAAGCCTGATCTACTGGCCCTCGTGCAGAAGAATCTCCCAGTGATTGAAGGGCTGCAGAACTGAGCTTTTCATGTGCAGAAGTGTGCTGTGATGATACCTGCTTCTTAGAGCTGCAGCACTAGTAATTTTGCATTGCAAGTTCCTTGGGTTATTTATGACGCAATAGAGACGATCCAAGGTATTAGTAAAATGTTGGAGCACAGACTTCTGCTCTCTGGATTTTCAGAGGTGAATTCCTAAGGTTTGGCCTTAATAGCCCTCTGGTCCTTTTTACAAGCCAATATTTAGCGGAGATGGAGATTTGGTAATAGGAAGGTTAAAGAAATATTGGGGGGAAGGTTGAGCTGATTACTTCCCTGGAGGATCCCGTTCTTCCAGATATACTCTGAAGTAAGCAAATGCAATTCCCATGAGAGTCTTTGGATCAAGTGCAGCTGGGATACAAATGATAAGGTGCAATCCACCGCAGGTGTAAGCAGATCAGAAAACAGGAGTAAATGGCAAGGTGGTGTAACTTGAACCAGTTTGGCATTCAGTGGGTGTGAAGGATGAGCATGACTTACACACTGCAGCTGATAAAGCAATTAACGTGAGAGTGATAAAGCTGTTCAAACCGTCCCCCACCCCCTAGCTACACAGGGCCAAATTCAGCATTAGCGTAAACAGGCAAATCTGTTGATTTGAATGTAAGTTGCACCCTCTTTTGCCAAGAGCTGAATTTGGTCACCACTGAATGCCCTGTCTGAGCAGGTTGCCTTGCTTTCCTTCGTACATCATAGAATCATAGAATATCAGGGTTGGAAGGGACCTCAGGAGGTCATCTAGTCCAACCCCGAGCTCAAAGCAGGACCAATCCCCAACTAAATCATCCCAGCCAGGCCTTTGTCAAGCCTGACCTTAAAAACCTCTAAGAAAGGAGATTCCACCACCTCCCTTGCTAACCCATTCCAGTGTTTCACCAACCTCCTAGTGAAAAAGCTTTTCCTAATATCCAACCCAAACCTCCCCCACTGCAACTTGAGACCATTACTCCTTGTCCTGTCCTCTTCTACCACTGAGAATAGTCCAGAACCATCCTCTCTGTAACCACCTCTCAGGTAGTTGAAAGCAGCTATCAAATCCCCCCTCATTCTTCTCTTCCGCAGACTAAACAATCCCAGTTCCCTCAGCCTATCCTCATAAGTCATGTGTTCCAGTCCCCTAATCATTTTTGTTGCCCTCCGCTGGACTCTTTCCAATTTTTCCATATCCTTCTTGTAGTGTGGGGCCCAAAACTGGACACAGTACTCCAGATGAGGCCTCACCAATGTTGAATAGAGGGGAACGATCACGTCCCTCGATCTGCTGGCAATGCCCCTACGTATACATCCCAAAATGCCATTGGCCTTCTTGGCAACAAGGGCACACTGTTGGCTCATATCCAGCTTCTCATCCACTGTCACTCCTAGGTCCTTTTCTGCAGAACTGCTGCCTAGCCATTCGGTCCCTAGTCTGTAGCTGTGCATTGGGTTCTTCCGTCCTAAGTGCAGGACTCTGCACTTGTCCTTGTTGAACCTCATCAGATTTCTTTTGGCCCAATCCCCTAATTTGTCTAGGGCCCTCTGTATCCTATCCCTGCCCTCCAGCGTATCTACCACTCCTCCCAGTTTAGTGTCACCTGCAAACTTGCTGAGGGTGCAATCCACACCACCCTCCAGATCATTTAAGAAGATATTGAACATCCATTTGCCAAGCAATTAATACCCAGTGTGTAACTTGCATCATCTTTGTGACACCACTGAATTGGGGCCCTGGTGTCTTTTGAGACCTTCCGTCGTGCTCCTTGATACAACCATCGCCTCAGCCTACAGCCACTGAGCTGCTGGCCTTTGGCAGGTAGAACATGTCAGGATCCTACCTGGCGTACAGATGAGAAGCCTACCTTAGGAGTAACCATAAGTATCCTTTCATTCTGATTGGAGAGAGACGTTCCTATAGAATAGAGATGGGCCACTGAGGCAGTGGTTGGATCCGGAGCTGGTTTAGGAAGGCTGGGTTCGAAGGTTCAGGTTCATGGTACTGAAAACTCATAGGGTTTTGGCTCCAAATGGTGGAAATCTCATGAGATCTTTTAGACTCTAAGCCGGGGTAGGCAAACTTTTTCGCCTGAGGGCCACGTCTGGGTATGGAAATTGTATGGCGGGCCATGAAGGCTAACGAAATTGGGGGTTGGGGTGCAGGAGGGCATGAGGGCTCCGGCTGGGGGTGCAGGCTCTGGGCTGGGGTTGGGGATGAGGAATTGGGGTTGCAGGAGGGTGCTCCAGGCTGGGACCGAGGGGTTCAGAGGGCGGGAGAGGGATCAGGGCTGGGGCAGGGGGTTGGGGCATGGGAGGGCACCAGGGGGGCAGGCTCCGGGTGGCACTTACCTCAAGCAGCTCCCAGAAACAGCAGCATGTCCCCCTTCCGGCTCCTATGCGGAGGTGTGGCCAGGCAGCTCTGCACGCTGCCCTATGCACTTGCACTGCCCCTGCAGCTCCCATTGGCGTGGTTCCCAGCCAATGGGAGCTGCGGGGACAGCACTTGGGGTGGGGGCAGCATGTGGAGCCCCAGGGCTGCCCCTACACGTAGGAGCCGGAGTGGGGATATGCCGCTGCTTCCGGGAGCCATGCGGAGTGGGGCAAGACCTCGACCCTGCTCCCCGGCAGGAGCTCGAGGGCCTGATTAAAATGTCTGGAGGGCTGGATGTGGCCGTAATTTGCCC